TGGGCTAACCAAATTAACTGAGGGACGCTGTGTATTTTTTAGCTCCTCTTCCGCTAATTTTAGCTTTTCCTCGGTGGCTTTGAGTTTCGCTTCTAGTGTTTCGACTCTTTTACGCAAATGGCCGCTACCTACAATGTAACGGCCTTTATGATCGGCTTTAACGTACCCGTCCCCCAAGTCCTTGAAATGTTGATACCATTTATCTGGATCATCTTTATAAGGGACCCATTTCATTTGTTCATAATCGTATACTTCTATGGAACCCATTGTAACGTTGTAAACTTAAGACTGGCGATCCTTCTTACGCATTTTCAACCTCATCGTTTTTATCGTTCTCATGATTAGAAATGTTAATGTCGTGACTGGGCCATAGAACCTCAAACAAATCTTTTCTTAGTTTAATGGCTTGTCGAATAGATTCCTTAAAATTCATGCCGTGTTGATGTCTAAGTTTCCTCGCGGACTGGAAAATTTGCTTTTGAGTAGGGTCCTTTTGCAATACATAAAAGTCAATAAGAAATTGTGCATAATTTTGTCTCAACATTTTTCTTAAATGCGGCAACACATCATTTGCAGTTCGAGAAAGAGCATCATCGAAAGAGTACTCTTGATCTATGTAACTGTTTAGTCGTTCCTTAAATTGTTCCGAATGAGCCTGTCTGAGGGGCTTTTGAAATCTTCGATCCCATATGTCATGACGTGCACGTTCTTCTTCTATTTCCTCTTTTATGCGCTTACCAGGAGGTCCCGTAATGAAAGACTTTCTTTTCATTCCAATTTTTTCGTTTTCTGACTCATTTTCCTCCTCTTCTTCCTCATAATCATTATCAACATCATCATTTAAAGTATTGTCAGACAAGTTTGATTCTCCACTAAACTCATTTTCGGAATCATACGCATGCTGTCTTTTCCTAGCTTGACTTTCAAAAATGTTTTCGCGTAAACGGTCATGTTCTTGAGTAGAGGATTTCAAGTCTACCACTAGATAACCGTGAGGTCTTGATGTTGCTCGTTCGAAGCGTTTCATAAAGATGTTATAGGAGGAAGGATATATTCTTCTCGCTAACGTAGCCACCTGCTGTCTGTCAATGGGGTTATTGAACAATACTAGGTACTGCGTATTCAACGCGATATCTCTGCAGGCTTTTCCTTGAGGAAATAAATTTTGAGTTAGATACACGATAGATATGTTCCTGTGGTGACTGCCTTTGGTAAAAAGATCGGCGATTCTCTGGTCACATTTTGCCTCTGTCATCAAATCGTCAAAAACGATCAAGTTCCTTTTACGCCCGTCAATATACTTTGGACTATTCAAGTAGTCGGGAATGCCATGTACAAATTCTATCCCGGGTATTCTACGCTGAAGTTCGTCGTATAGAATTTGCCATTGACCGTAACACCAAATGATGCGCTCCAGTGGTGGACTAACTATATCGGATAAAAGCAATGTTTTTGTCCATTCGGTTTTCCCGCTTCCGCTTGGCCCGGAGACGACCATCGAAAACGGATGCTGAAACGTCATCTTTTCTGACCCAGGGGTTATTTGTGATGATGAATGCTTATCTCTTACAATTTCGTCAGTCTCGTGCAGGTTACGATGATGTCTCAACATGACGTCGCGTCTTGAGAAAAGTTGTTGACAAATTGGACATTGATTCATTATAAAAAAAAGACACAAAAGTACACTGAAGTATTCGTTCTTATACTGGTTAGTCGCCCTTCTTACGTTGAAGTGAAGTGTTGTTGTTGTTAGTGGTGGTGGTGGTGGTGGCGGCGGCGGCGGCGGCGGCGGCGGCGGCGGCGGCGGTGGTGGTTGTGGTTGGTGGTGGTGGTAAAGGAGCAGGAGATTAATGGTGGTGGTGAAGGAGCAGGAGATTAATAGATGACAAATCCTGTTTCTAGTCATACATGTTTATTGATAAAATATACGCAGATAAACATATTCTTACAAACAAACACAAAAGATATGTTACGATACAGTAGTACACTATCAATGTTATGGTTATACAAATGAATGTCAACATTTTTTTTTTCGTCTAATTTGATACAGTAGATACCGTTGAACTTAAACCACCAAATCCTCCAAAACCGCAAGGTGTTGACCTAGTTGTTGATACAAACGCACCAAATCCGCCTATTGGGGGCGGTTTTTGTTGAGGAGCGCCTACTATTTTAATATATTCGCAATTGGGTGACCACTTGTGATGTTCTCTCAATGCAATGTCCGATCTATCCCAGGCGCTTAATTTTATGTGACATCTGAAACACTTGCACAAGTCTGATTTCCCACTGTAGTATAATCCCGCGCTTGCCAGTTCGTACTTATTCGGGAGTAATTGTTTTGGATACGTATCGAACGTCTTAAGTCTACTTTCGTAATATTCCATGTTTTGGTTGAAGGATGTACAGTTAGTGGCGTTCATCTTGCTTATGCCAATACGCTAATAAGTTTTCATTTATATACACACGTATTAAAATCTGATTGGCTGCTATTTTTGGCATGACGTTATTCATCTATTTATGTTATTTATAGTCACGTGATCAAAATCATTGGTCAAGTAATCCTTCTATCTGATTGGTTACATTTAGTCCGTAAGAAAAGAGAAACTGCTGTTAAATTGGACAATGTCATTTCTAAATTAGATCAGCGCATGCGTATAATGTATCGCACTGGTGACTTCGGTCATTTGGTGATTGGACGTCATAGAGTAAACATCATTAACGCAGTAAGTTGAGTTTATATTTCGAGTACAGTATTTTCAATGAAGAATGATTAAAAGATTTAATAGTGATTTTTATTTCGATTTTAGTCCGTATTTATAAAGAGCGCCTTAAAACATTTCGTACGATACCAAACATGACCGGGTTATATTGACTAATAAAGGCGTAAATCCACATTTTACGCTTGAGTGATTTTACTTCATTTATCGGGTCCTATCCGAGTCAGCGATACAAAATTATACATTTTCTGAATCTAGTGAGTAATACCTTTCGTTCGATACAGGTATTAATAAGATCGGTCCGTTGGTTGGGGAGAAAAAAATGAATTTCACGCACGAGTGACTTGACATTCGGTTTGATCGCGTGACTAAAATGTACTCGTCAAGACCTTCAATTTGATACCAAACACGACTATGTTTCGTTCATAAACGAAAAAGTTATGCGTGTTTTTCCGCATGAGTGATTTTGTTTGCCATATTCAAACTCTCCTATCTCAAAAACGGTAAGAGATAAATCCATATAATAATACATTTTCTGTATCTACTCGCAGAGATCTTTTCAAACGGCATATAAATCTTACGGTTTTATGGACTTTTAAAATTGGTTTAAAAATCGCTAATTGGTCATAACTCGAAAACGGCTAAAAATCGAATCGAAAATGGAGGGTGTAAATGAAAGGTATTAAAATGTTCTTTCAATTGGTAGTGAAAAATTAAAAAATCATATCGTAAACGGTTGCCCTAAAGAGGAAAAAACCGGTTTGTAGCTTAATTTCTTTGAATGAAATTTCTCAAAAATATACGCAAGGGAATGAAATTTCATTCTAATTGTAATAAACAGCATTTTGTAGACTAAAAAGCAAAACAGTATTAGGTATAAGTCATAATTCTATAAGTTGCAACATTTTCTACAAATTTTAATCCTTTTTTCAGCAGTCTGTTTGCATTAAGTAAACATTTCGCTGACCGGGACCCTTAAAAAGTACACTATTGATAAAATCAATGTCCATTATACCTCATTCGGGTTTATATAAACAAACGCCAAACAGCGCAGGAACTTTAAAAGGATTAATTTTGACATATGAATAGACCATTGTTAAAGTATTCGTCCCTAAATAAACAAGACGCCAAACATCGCGGCGACTTTAAAGGGATTAATTTTGACAGTTAAATGAACCTTTGTTAAAGTTTCCGTCCTTAAACAAACACAAGCCAAATAATGTAAACAAGTTAGGCTTGGCACTTGAATAGACCATTGTTAAAATATTCGTCCCTAAATAAACACAAGCCAAACAGCGTGGCAACTTTAAAGGGATTAATTTTAACAGTTGAATGGACCATTGTCCGCACATCTGCTCTTAAATCAACATACGCCAGACATTGTTGACATTCTGAATGGATTAATTTTGACACCTGAATAGCCTTTTGTCCGTTTTTAAATTAGCTAATGAGGTCACTAAAACCGGTCATGCATATTAAGGAATGCAAAAAAACTTGAAAGAGTCATTTCGTTGCGGAACGCCGAAAAGTCAACATCGTATGTATGTATTTTACGTAAATATTTATTAAATTATTTTACAGTAAAAGTCCTTATTATTATCTTATATAGAAACATTATTTGACTGACTCATAATATCGAATTAAATTGAAAATTAATTTCATATATTTTGTTATATGTTAAAAAACTTTATGATGAACACATTTAAATTAATTAATTGTCTTATTCATTGTATTATAAAGAGTCAATTAGTCAGTCAGTTTTCAATTATATCTTATTACTAACGCATTTTCTTTATTTGGAATGTTTATAGAAAAACACATTTGAAATAATATATTAATATTGAATTAAGTTTTTAAGACTATTTTTATTAATAATGTTATATAAATAATACAGACTATTATTTTAATACAAAATGTCCTAATTAAAAGGTAAGTCATTTTATTCATATTTTTTATGGATACATGTGTATAATTTTCATTTTAAATGTTATCTCCCCGTCTAGGGCCGAGGACCTGACCTTCAATGTCCGCGATTCAAGCCCTAAATCGTGTATACGAGTCAGCTCCGTATACTTCCGGGAGATTAAAAATGAATTTCTAAATATAGAACGATGATGTCATTCTAAAAATAGAATCCAATATGGCGCCGCGCATGCGCAATCGTGGCGTTAAAGAGACCCCTATACTACTCATATGTATGTACTTTGAATAGGAAACATATTTATTTATCAAATTTTATATTTGTAATGGTGATATATAACTATTTTAAATTGTTTTCAGTGTATTTGGTAAATAATACATCGTAATGTTGTCGGAGTCGGCACTATACCCGGCTGCACCAGTTATTGCGCAACCCGGAAGCACTCTTAGTCCGGCTCCTGGTTCCGTTCCGGAAAATGGGGTTTCAGTTCGTTTGTTGCAAGACACGCCAGCTGACGCGGAGTTCGCCGGCAGATTAAACGTCGAAGGTTTTCGCGGTAAATTTGCGCATAATATAACAGAAAGAAAGTATGTATATTTTCTAATGTTTATTTTCTACCTTAGATTGATTGATATGAAAATCCTTTAGTCAATACATAGATTTAAAGGGACCCTACTTAGGATTTTTGACATTACATGATTGAAAATATTACTTAAAGACTTGTGTATCATTAAATGTTGGTCTGGACTTGTATGCGAAAATTAAAAACATTCATTTACTCCGTTTTTGCCAGAATAATGTTTGTTTATTGTTCAAAATGACCCAAAAATAAAAAGCGTCAATTGCTTTTTAACTCAAATCAGATTAAGTATAGCATTAAAATAATATTTTACATTCAATTCTGATGATCTATTACATGCTGATGATCTATTACATGTTTTTCTTTTTGCATATTTTTTTTCTGTTGTCACAGTTTATCTATGTTAACAATTCAAATCGTATGTTTCTTGGTTTTTCGACATTACTAGAGTTCTTAGTATTAGCCTTTAGTGTCGCTTTGAGACTGTTACGAACTAAGTACAATTTTCAATAAGTGATTCCGATAATAAATGTTTGTTTGCCTCTACTAAAAGGTCGGGACTCTACCACAATCGGTACGTCTGGGCTATTAAGACTGACGGAAAAGTCCGAAAAGTTGCGATTAGGCTCTACCATACGTCATCCCTAGAAAACTAAACGTAACGGTTTGACCGCAAGTACTGCATGTAGCTCTAGTAGTCCTTGTATTGCACGGACAACATCGATGACATTATATTTTATTCTTAAGTTTCTAATGTTTTACAAAATATTTAAAATATACCATCAAGATTAATGTATTTTTTAATACTTGTTTACTTAAACCTATACTATAATTATTCAAATTGCTAGACTGCCAATAGCTGTAAAACACATGACAGCACAACACAGGGGCCAAAACCCGGCGTTTTACAACCGGACTTTCGTAGCTGAACTTTATGGAACACCTGTCGGTTTACTGCAGTTGAAATTCAAGGGTGACAAGGAAATAGAGTGAGTGTTCTGAACACGGTATATACGTATATGTTTGTCTGTTTGATTTGGTTTTACGTCACATCGAGACAGTATAGGTCATATGACAACGTTCCATCTAAAGTGGTGAAGGAAGACTTCAAGTACCACTCCTTGCATTATTTCAGGCACGAACGGGCAACTGAATAGAAATACCGACGTTCCAACAGCTAGCTGGATAGCTTCCTCACATGAAAGAATCCAGAGTCCTATCGGGTTTCGAACCCACAGCGGAGTGGGGCAAGAGATAAACGTCTATATAATATATAATAAGTATAAAAACAATCGTTTAATATACTTTTACTTTTGTATTTCCACACAGAAAAGATGACCATATCTCGGAACTTGGATGCTGGCATGGTTGTAGGTATGTCTTTTTGAAGTGGCGTGGTAATTCTCTTTTTTAACAACGTGTCTATATCACATGAACCAATATCGAAATGTAAAAGTTCAACAAAACTGATATAATAGTTTACAAAATGTTATTTGCAATTGATAAATAAAAATGAAAATTTGAAGCATTCTTTGCTTCTAAAGCTTTTAAAAAAATATTATTGTTATTTGTTGTTGAAATGTTAACGTTTTCGTAGCCTTTCTCATACCACGACTTTGCTGTTCCTGTTTACAGCGTTTCTTACACGCGTCTTTCCATTTTTGACCCTTTCCTTTGTATTTAAATTAGAATGTAGAACAACAACAAACAAACCACAAAAACACACAAAATAAAACAACGACAATAATTGGTGTACTAGTGTTTGCTTATATATTTAAAATGCTGTAGGTGGCAATGTGTTGTTTCATGTTTTATTTGCTCTTTATAAAATGTTGTAAAGGTATTGTTGCTTTGGATCGATTATGGATGAACCTGTGAATGATCGTCTCAAATGTTATTTGGATCATATATGTGTAGACGAAATGGCTCGAGGGAAAGGTGTCGGTAAGGTTTTGATGCAGAGGGCAGAATACGAAGCGAGGTTGAGAAATTGTACCGTAAGTTAATTAACACATACATTTGATATTGTCAGCGTCAGGGTCTCTGTGTAAATAAAGTCAATGTCTGTTACTGCAATTTCTTACTCAAGGACTAAACTAAAGCTTTTATTAAATACCATGATTAAATTACTAGACAATATTCTCATTTTCATAAATATATAAATCATAGAAATTATCTTAAATAAAAAATGTTTCTGAGATTATATCATTTTCAAATTTTAGATTTTTTTGTCATGCATAGTGTGATAATTGGAAGAATGTTACCTAACTTGATACTATTCGATTCTTTACCATGACATTGTTTTTAAAAGGGGCTTTTTCACAAGTTGATGAAGGGTGAAGGGGTCCTCGTGAAAATTGTTGGGAAAATAACATGGTATTTTTGCACAGGAATTAACTGAAATTTAAGGGAAGACTGTATGACATTAAAGAAGTTAACTGGGAGAAAGCAACCAATAACGGCCCCTGCTTTAGATAGCATCCTTCCAAGAAACTTGCTTCTTTTAGTTTAAACACATTTATATGTTAAGAAAGGAACAACTTGGTCCGATAATACCTGTCATAACTGTAAGGAGCCAATGAAATTGCTACATTTTTAATGTCCAAAATCTTTTCTTACTGTTTCGCATTGTCCGATTACATAATAATTATGACAGCTGAGTAAGAACTTAAAGGAAAACGAGTAATAATGCAGAACTATGAATTTTAACTTTTATTTCACCCCTTTAATTTTTCGCAGTGCCAAAATATATTTCAAAAGTTAAGTAGTTACAAGAGATATTTCTTATTGGCTGAAAGGCTTAAGTGACTGGTTACAAACATATACATGTGTACGCATAAAGATGGAATTACCGGTACGATAAAAGTAGAAAGTTGTCTGCTCACGAGACAAACAGACAAACAAAAACATCTTTATTTTCGGTTTTGCCTATATTATAAACTGTGTATGAAGATGTACGCGTAAATAGGATTTTTCCTGGTGGCAGGTTACAGGACTTTATATACTTACTTAAGTGATTTCTCAGTGGAAAACTTGTATTTGGTACTTAGTTTGTTTGTTGTGTGTAAGGGTTATGTTTGATGTTAATTGTTTTATATGTTCATCTTGTATTATTTCCATTTATATTTTTTTGCTAACATGTGTCACCACTTTTTTCCTATTGAATTTTGATACTATTTCGGGCTATATATCTCTGCACACAAATGTTTGATTTTCCAACAAAAATAACATCTCTTTCATTATAAATCTTACAAATGAATATGAATGACAATATATCAATTCTAACTTTTAACTGCCAGGGGCTAGCTGGGTTACAGAAAAGAAAAGATGTGCTCAACTTTTTAAAGCAAAAATCATTTAGTATTTATTGTTTACAAGACACGCATTGGACAAATGCTGAGGAAAACATCTGTTTCACAGTACGCAGATGACACATCTCTTACTTTGGATGGTACAGAAAAATCTCTAAAAAATACACTTTTGGTGCTTAAATTCTATGCAAACGCCTCCGGCCTTCACATTAATATAGAAAAAACAAAAGTTATTTGGATTGGAAGCATGAAAGGAAGTAACATTGAATTTCAAATAGGAGAAAATCTGACGTGGGAAAAAGAAACTTTTACTGTTCTCGGAATTAAATACTCACTTAATCTGAAAGATATAATTAGCATTAACTATAACGATAAAATAGAAGACATAAAATCATTACTGCAACAATGGTCTAAAAGAATTTTAACCCCGTACGGTAAAATAATTGTTATTAAAACTATGGCTCTGTCGAAAATCAATCATTTGCTTATTTCTCTTCCTAATCCATCAAACAAAGTTATCAAAGAACTAGAACTCTCAAAAGAAAAAATTCTTTTTGGTAAAACTGATCCTAAGAAAACGGACGAAACATTAAATTTTATTTTTCTAATTGCAAAAAGATATATTTACACGTGTAGGTATAATAACCAAAATTTCAACATACAAACCTTTCATAAAACGTTAGTTTTCCATTATAATGTAGAAAAGTATATCCAATATTCTTCTTGTAATTGGGATTAATTCAATAGTAGGTGGTCTACCTATCAAACTCTTGTCGACGTTCCTAACTGATAAGGTTTTGAACATACTTTTACCTTACAGTACGCTCAGCGCGACTTTTTCAAAACCCGCGTGACCCCGCGGATGAGGTTTACCGCGGACGAAAATTTGCTCAGATATTGTCCGCGTGACCCCGCGGACAGAAAATATTCACCACCGCGGACATAAATCGGCGGCTGAAACCGTTTCCCCCGCGGAACGTAGCGGTAAATTTCGGAGGAACGCGGCGGTCAAACACCGGTCAACGCGGTGGAAACCTTAAATTTTAAAAATTAATTAGGCCGCTATTCCATTGGTACGCGATCCGTGACCCGCGTCTGTGATCCGTGTCCGGGGCATGTCCGTGGGTATTATTCCACAGGTACGTTTTTTCTACATACTTTTAATTGAAGTGTAGCGAACAGAGGATACTTATTTGTAGAATATGATATACTTTCATTCTAATATCAGAAACAGTTGTAACATCAAAGAATTAGGTAACAAACATTGAATACCAGTTAGGTTTTTGAAAAAATCTCTTTAGCAACCGAAGACCAGATGTTGTTGTTGTTTTTTAATCTGTCATTGGTGCATCATAAACTTATAGGTTCTCCCACACTATTATGGTGAGCTCTTTAGTATTTTCTTTCGAAATCGATAAAGTATTTGATTTCGTTCGAGGCATTTTGTAGGGATGAGACAAGTCCGTGAGTGTCCGCGTCCGTAAAAAATCGCTTATCCTGCGAAACGTCACTGATGCCGTCGCGGAAGCGGATGGTAAACGGACAAAAGGAATAGATTCAACGTATTATTTGATGAGCGAATCGGTAGCGGACGCGGATGACGGACGCGGACCACTGATCACGTACAAATGGAATAGCGGCCTTACTGTATTTAAACATCAGTATACGTACGTACTGTAACATGTACTGTACATATAACTATATGTAAAATTTGTTTGTTTGTTTTCTGTTTTGTTGTAATAAAAGTACATGTACAAATGCAGTGTATTTCTTGTTCTTCTTCTTGTTATTGTGTTGGGTAATGTATAATATGTATTCGACATCAAGATAAATCATTGTCGTCGCAACTTCATGGTAGTGAGAAACTTGAAGTCAAATAATGAAAAATTCGGCATATGACATTTATGAAAAAGATACTACAACAATTTATATGCCAGCTTTTGTTTCTTATTTAAAAACTTTGAAAACGTAACCCTCAACAATTTATTCAGGCAATATTCCAGGACGTCTCTTTCAATTGTCAGATGCGTTTTACTGTTTCTGTTTATTTGCATGTTGATCATAAAGTCTTATATTTTATTTGGAACATTAAAAGAAAGCGTTTATTTCACCAAAATATACATTAAATGATATTTTTGATTTATCTAATTACAGGTGTGAGCGTAATGTATATGTTTTGAAGTTTGTATCAACTGTTGAAGTTTATTTTCATTTTTGTTTTATTAGTTTGTTTGTTTGTCTTTTTTATTTTTTTATAGATTTTTTTTGCAGAATTTTGTTAAACTTGACGTTATACTTTTTGTTATTTTATTATGAACAGCATGTACATACATGTATATAAGGCAAACAAGCACATGGCAGTTATTTTCTAAGAACTTCCATCGACCGATTTTCAAGTTAAAAAATATTTCATTTTATTTTGTCTTAAGATACTATTGTTCATGGGAATAATAGTATTTGTAGACAACATGTAGTTTTAAGTACATACAATTGAACGTAATTGTCTTTGCTTTCTTGTATTTATTATATTAAGTTTTCATTGAAATTAATTCCGAGGATAATAATGTAATTTTATAATTTGTAAAAGGCAGCCTAATTATTATTTTTTTAATGGGTGAATTTGTGTCAAACAAATATACGGTATGTACAGTATACAAAAACTTTTTGGCAAGTGTCATGCATATTTCTCATGTCCATTTTCGACGGGGTTTTTACTGTAAAAAAACACAAACAAACAAGTATACCCGTTTTTAAAGAATATAATTGCATACAAATAAAATCTTATAGATGGTTTAAATATCTTTTTCTTTTATTTCTAAGATATGTACATGTAATTTATTTATGTCTTGTCTTGTATTCACACTCATCGACCTCTTACAGGACATGTACTGTAGCGACAGAAATCATTGAGAAATCAGCACAAATGTCCTTTTTTATACTAAGTATCATATTTATGGCTCCCATATAGTTTAACAGCAATTATACTTTGAGAACCACAAGGAATGAAAAGTAAAGATGACAGTGATAAAAGACGATTTCAGTTGTAAAAATATTGGTATGTGGACGAATAGTTTTGTGGACGTTTATAACAAAAATATTAAAAACAACAACAAAAACAGGTACAGCTGTAATTATTTTTATTTCAAATTCCGTTCAAAAAATTTAACGTTTAAGGAGACGATTGTGGTCAATTTTCAAGTCATTGTGTAAAAAAGATGACGTTAAAAAATAATAAAACGTCTAGTATTTTTGGAGGTTAATTTATACTGACCAACTGACCTTGGCGTTCCCCCGCGGGAAACGGGTGACTGATTTTATCGACGAATGAAGAACGGTCGTCAGAATTTTGTCCGCGGTGGAAACAACTGAACACCGGGGATCGCGGGGGAAATTAGGCTTTCATCGCGGACGAACCCCCGCGTTTGTCCGCGATAAAAAAAAATCGTCCGCGGTGGTATCGCGGAAAAAGCAAAACCCGCGGTGAGCGTACTGTATATTAAAACACAAGGAAATTAACTGTTAAAAAATCAGTCTTAACAAAAATGAATTATATTACCATCCAAAGTCGGAGATGTGCCATATACATATAGAGTGTTTTATTGGCCTTATCTTAAAAATAATGTAATAAATATATTTTTGGTGACACATCATATAAAAGCTTCAGGCAACTAGTATATTGTACATACTGCATTACATATTTTACACTTCAAATGTTGATAAGAGATGATATAATGTTTATATGATATAGAATCATATCTATATTAAGATTGCTGGAACTATGGCCTGTGCCACCTGTATATTTGGCTCATCGTGAAGTCGGGGGTACTCCTGACTCCCGACAACCTTTGGAGGTCGAGGGTCGGGAGTGCAACTGGCATGGCCTGGGGCGCGCGTTGTCGCAGGAAGACCATTTTGGAGCTTCTAGGCCCCATGTCATGCTCTGGTTGAGTTCAGGTCCACGATAGAGTGAACAGAGACTATCAGTTCTGGTTGATTTTAATATTATTTGAGTCTTATGTCTTATGTAAATAGAAGCTCTGAAAAACTATTATAATATAGGGAAATAAATAAGTTAACGTATTTTAGGAAATTTATGGTAGTTATCTTTCTTTATGTGACATGACTTTTTAGAAGCATAGCAATGCTAATGTATTTGGAATTATTGTCACTTTCTTTCGTTTACAAGATCTTGTTTTTTTGTATTTATACACACATTTAAGCTTCTTCAATTATTAAATATAAAGATCCTGTGATGAGAGTAGTATTTTGATCAACTATCTCGTTAGAAGACATGAAATGTGGTTTATTTTAATGGATATAATCCTTGTCTGCGATGTTTATAAATAAATAAATATACCTTCCATATATGTTAACATAATATTTTTATATAATATTTTTCTCTCTTTATTCAATAAGTATCCACGGGAAGACCTAATTTGTTTTTTCGCATACACTTTTCGTTTAGGTTATCTTGCTGGAAAACTTTTGGACGACGGGATAAAAAATTAAATAATATAAAAAAAACTGTATAAAAATGAAAGTAAAATCATCTCAAAAACCATCCGTACATAATTATTATATAATGTTATTGTAAACCATTGTTTTCCTCTAACGTTCTTTTTATTATTTTTATATTTCTCTCATCAACTTCAAAATGTATACTATAAATGTAATGCGAAAATCTTATGTCTCCTTTTATTTAATCTTAGGGTCTCCTTTTTGATCTTATAAAATGTTTAAAGATTTAATTGTATGATGTGTATTTGCATGTTATGTATGATTATATGATTGTATGTTTAGTTGATTTTTTAATAAATGAGGTTCCATATTTGTGGACCTGAAGAAAAAAAAACAAAAAAAAAAAAACAAAACATCTTTATAACAGAAAGCCGGCCGTTGTACGGTGAACGTTATAATGTATTTTTTGATAATATGTAAGAAACTACGAACAAATGTTATAACTGTTTACATTTCAGTCAATATATTTGTGGGTTTTAACTACAAATCGAGCAATCTCGCTATATGAACGGCAAGGTTACCATGAAACTAGCAGCACGAGTATGTGCGGATGTCTTGGATGTTTAATAGGCCAACCTGGGGTAAGTTATATTCCTTTTGTCAATGACTCAACTGATGCCCACTTGATTTCTTTCAAATCAGTACTGGTTAAGGATATAACATATAAATAGAATAAAAACATATTTATTTTAGCTGATTATTTGTAAATAACTCTCTATCTGCAACCCTAGGCTGACCGGTCTTGGGAAATTTGACAGGAAATTTGATTCGGTATCAGTGTTGTGTGTGGGGGGGGGGGGGGGGGGGTGCTGGAGGTGGGCTCGAACCAGTGATCCCTTTACTGAGAGAATACTACCTTAGCCAGTGGGTCACATCTTCTTAATTAACATAATTTAAGTAGAATAAGTGACTTTCAACGTATAGTTATTTGTCATAAATGTTCCCTTGAAACGCAGTACCGTTTACTGATATGTACATTGTCAAGTAACATTTTTTTAAGTCATGATTGAATTTTAATTACTACCGGTAGTTTGTTTAATACTGCTCTAATACTTGGTCATTTATTTCCGTTATGTTGTGTATCGCTTTTCTCACGGGCGGAAACCCATAGTATACATTTCGTAAACATGACATTGATATTTACCAATGATGATAAACAATCAAGATAATCCACACTGTTTAACGTTGAATTCTTGAATTCTGCTTAAGCCGGTGCTAGGGGGCATAGGGGATAGCTTGCAATTTCCAGTACCGTCGATAAACAGACTTAATCAAACTGAGCCTGCAACATTTTAAATTTTACTGTTGTGCACGTTCTTTGGGTTGCTTATTTCTCTATTTCAATGTCCTTAATATTTATGTATCATAATAGTGCTTGAGGACATGTTACACTAAACATTCGAAATCATTTTAGGTTTTGTACCATATATATCTACTTTACCTGTGTAATTATTGTTTCTTACCAGGACCATGAGGACTACATCCTAAGTGTTTTTTTGTTGTTCTTTTTGCAGAAAGTTAAAGAAATGACCAAAATGCTCTGAAAGATGCAAGTCACCTCAATTCCACGTACTGTCAAGACACAAGTGTTTGAGCCGTCATGCCATTTATTTTGCTGACAATATAGTCTATCATTGATTGCTATTCAAATGTATATATATACAACTTTATATATATTCATATATTTTGTCGTTATACAAATTTTACAGTCTGTCTTTTTGCAATATGTCATCGTTATGTTTAAGTAGAAGTTTTGCAGAACTTCATATCATGTTGGCAGATAATTAAGTATATATTACGCTCATCTTTGAGTAAAATAGTTTAACTGCAGAAATTCATTGAAATCCATAAAATTCGTACTGAATATTTCTTAAAAAAAACAACTACAAGGTGTTTTTTAAAGAGACTATATATTCATTAATTTAAAAAGTGTGAAGATTTAAAACATAACATATCTACTTCGTGTGAAGTCAAAACATGTTTATTCTATATTTGCAAAGAGACCGTGTAGCATTTATCAATATTTTCAAATATCAAATTTGAGCATGGTATATCTTTAAAGTTATCGCTTATCACTTTGGAGTGGACGGTACATTGCATTTATTACTGCCGTCCATGTCAAGCGAGGCACATCCTTTTCAATTTTGCGGGTTTTGGCGTTCTTAAAGGTTTCATTTCAATTGTATCAAATTTTCTTATTTACACTATTTTTGAATACAAATGGTACTTATCTTTGCTTTAAAAAGATACATTTTAGTATTAACTCATTTACGATACCATATTAAAGGAACTCCACTGAGGCCCAAAGCCTGAAAATATGAACTTTGAATTCTTTACATAGATAAGCTGAGACACTGAAAGATATGCAAAAAATAGTAAATAGAAATATACTCAGAAATACATTTAATGTTGTATTTTGGTGCTATTCTTATCCCGATTCTTATCATTTTTCACAATTAGATTTTTTTTCTGAAATGATTTGAAAAATGATCTGATTTCGCACCAAAAGTTATTTGTCTAGACCTACATCAAATGGGACATTAATCTCGAAAAACGAGTTTTTGTTCCGTCATGCCAAATAACCTCAGTATTGTCCCTTTTATTGACATTTACACTAAATAGCTTTATTCTTACATGATATATTGTGTGATAAGATTATACATGTATTGTATATATTTGTTATTGTAATGATTATAGAAATAGACATCTCTTTTTATTACATGTACCACGTTTTTATATATATACTAATTCTATGTTTCATTTTATTGATATTTCTTATTACAAAAATAAAGGAATCTCGACTTTGATATACTCGTTTTGAGAACTATTTGCTTTTTAAATATCAACGTCATTGTCGTCATTTAACTCTTCATGCCGTGTATATCTTATGTTCCAAACCTGTTTAACTGATTCTCTACACAGTCATATCTAAATATTTCTATGTTTGTGTAAAAAACAACAACACCCCTCCTCCCCCCCCAAAAAAAGAAGCAAAAAAAAAAAAAAAATCTTTTATCTCATCTCGAATGTTGTTAATACCTTAACTTTCTTTTTGTGCTGCTTTTTCTTTAAATGCATGCTTAGTATTGTCAAATTTACACTAGTGATGCGTACATGTATGACAATCATTTAGCGTATTAGTTAGATTAGTTAGTAGGAGGAAAGAACCACCAATATAATAATTATTAATGTATTAAGTACTAGTTATCAGATATAATATGAAAATTCATTGATACTCTGCACAATTTTATATTAATTTAAAACCTGTATACAGATGGTAATATTTCAGTGTTTATCTTCTTGCTAAATCTGATAGATAAAAAATATAATTTTATAACTTGATGAAACTTTTGCTTTACATTGAATGTTGGTGCAGAAACTTTCTGAAATATTGTTGGTTAATTAATGTTCTACCGCCTTCGTGGTCGAGGGGTTAGAGTCGATGATTTCTAATCCAGTTACCTCTTTGGCGTGGGTTCGATCCTCGATAGTTTAGCGCGTATGATGGTAGTCTAGTACTGGTGTAACTCTCCAGGAACGATGGTAAGGAAACTACCCGCCTATATGACTGAAATACTGTTGGGAAAAGGCGTTAAATGAAACAAACAAACAAAACAAACAAACAAACAAACAAACTAGATTAAAACCAGTGTTTCGTATAAACTGACATATTGGCGAAACTGTGACCGTAACATTTTCCCGCCAACATTTCATATAGTCGGCAACCGGACATTGTGCTCCTCTGAAAATGATCACGTGATATGCTGATGGAGTGATACTATAGACTTACAGACATTTTGTAGACTTCTTCATTTTCATATCATTTAACAGTTTTAAACTTCGAGAAAGCACAATGTAGGGTCATCCATTTGAGTTTGGTTTGTGACAGGTACAGACTTTCTGTATACCAGTTTATGTGTCACCTGATTCAGAAATATGAGGGGGTCAAATAGGAAATGGAAAATATGCAGTTTTCTAAATAAAACAAATATTTGAGAGAGCATCTAAACTAGAACCTAATCTAAGATTTTCTTTTCTTTTCCAAACCTGACTGAATCCTTAATGTCGATTAAAATTGCAAATTTTGTATGCAATTTTAATTTTATCATAACTCGTGATTCTATCAATATACACATTGAAGAAAAAAACCTGTGTAAAACACTGGTTAGGGATAACATGTATATTTGGATGTTCTTTTATATACATGTTCTGTCGCCATCAACAGGCATGAACAAAGCCTGTTTTTAGACTGTCTTTCATATAAATTCTCTTCACCAACACACATTGAAAGTCTGTAGTTTGCTTAATCGTAGTCTACTTGGTATTATATTTACGTTCACAATTGATCTAAGACCTTATTCACATTTCAGTGGGCTATAGGCAACCACAATCACACGAACCTTTTGTATAAATTGAGAAATTGCTGGAGCAATACACCAAAGCTTAAATGTTTGATTATAAAAGAATGTACTAAGTCAGCGGCCGCACATCCTGGTTATGATGATGCCAGATGATCGTTAATGCAACCTGCAGATTATAATTACGCAGATGTATTTAGAAATGCATAATTACTCTGAGATATTCGGAAAGCATTACGTGTTTATAAATTTCTAATGGCTGCTTGTGATATATAACCTATACTTGGCTACGATATACTGCTCAAATCATACGCTTTAAAAGTGTGTAAAATCACAAATTCATTATATCATATTTTCAATGATCATTACTCTACAGGTATTTGCTTTAACAAACTATTTTCTGAAGTCTTCAAGCATGAAAACAAAGATTATACAATGGTATGATCAAATGATAAAATCATAAAACCGTTAAGAGTAACATAATAATATTTATAATTATTTCATGAACATAGACAATATACTTTATTGATCACCTATTATCAATAGATGTTTACTGCTGTTTGGCGATTGACGACTTTTGTATTATGTTATGTTACGTTATATGTTATGTATTATGCAGATTGGTTACATGCAAATTTGTACGTGTATTGTCTATAACAAACGAGAACAAACGTTAATTAATTGATAGGAGAATATTAAGCATTGAGAAATAAGCAACTGAAAGTATTTTCATTTTAAATTGATGATCAATTGCAGGCCAGTTTTCTTGACTAAAATAAATATTTCCGATTGAGTCCATGGTTTTTGAAGTGAATTAACCCATCGAATAAACATATACATGTATTGATTTAAATTAGTACGACAAATCATTTTCTGTTTGTCTTATAAAGAATATTACGATATGACGAAAACAATTTTAGTCTAATAGATAAGGGATTAGTAAAAAGTATCCCTTTCGATAATGATTAAAGATATGGTATCTATGCTCAAATTTGATATTTGGAAATATTGATACATGCTACACAGTCTGTTGTTAAATATGAACTAAACACGATTTAACTTTATATAAAGTAGATGTCATGTTTAAAATTCCTGTCAAATATATGGGAAACTAAAGCGTCATTAAAAAAAAAGGATAGAAGTTTTTTTTTAAAGGGGAAAAGACTTCAACCTCACTTCCCACTTGAATCCGTAAAGGGAATTTGAAGCTACCCATGAAGGCCCCTGTTAGAAAAATCCGTAGACAACCGATATTTTATAAATAATTCTATTTTTCAAAACCATTTTGTTTATGTTGTGAGCACCCTTGATTATAATTCGCATACCCTTGATTACGATAAAAACATGAAATTGTTAACCGGCACTAGTGTGATCGTTCCGTGGCAACCTTGCTCCGGGGGTACCCGGAGCACGTCAAAAACTAGAGATATTTACCTGGTCTCATGCGCCTCCTTTTTTTTTGGGTATTTTATCTGGTAAAATCGCGGGTAACGTTATGATATAAACCCTAATGACGTGACGTTACACGCTGAAACGTAACAAAAAAAAAAAAATTTGTTATGCAAATTTGAACGTTATCGTCGGTTAGAAATAAAAAAGTGAGGAGAAATATTGTCAATATAGCCATGGAAGAAAACACGCCAGAAATGACGACGTCGGACGTTTGGGCGGAGCAGCGTGTGCTAATAAAATTCTGCATGGAGCTTGGAAAAAAACGCCTGGAGAGACGATGGAATTTATTAATTCAAACAGTAACAGGCCAAGTGTTTCTCGCCCTCTTGTATATAAATGGTACAAGCGATTTCACGATGGAAGAGTTGAAACATCAGACGATTTACGTTCAGGAAGACCAAGCATTATTAATGAGAAATCTTGAACGTTAGTTAGGAACGTCATTAATGATGACGGCGACTTACTGTAAGAGATATTTCTGAACAATGTGATATTTCAAAGACAACTGTGCATAAAATTCTCACTGAAAAAAAACTTTGGAATGGAGCGTGTTTGTGCACGTTGGGTCCCCAGGTTACTTTCTAGTGATAAAAAAGAGGCGCGTGTTATAGCAGTAAAAATCATTTCTTCGAAAAAGGGAAAAGGGGCGGTGATGCATTTCTGGACAGAATTATCACATCTGATGAATCATGGTTTCACTATTTTGAGCCCGAGAGCAAACAGCAGTCTAGCGTATGGAAGCATAAAGACTACCCGCCACCAAAGAAAGCCAAAGTGATGAAGTCAATGGGAAAGCCCATGTTTATTCTATTTATGGATAGACACAGTATGATCCTCACCCACGCTGTACCCCATGGGATCACTGTTAATGCAGACTACTACTCAAAGGTAATTGTGGTTTTTATTACCTTAATTAAACGTGAGCATACATATAATAATTATTATAAATTAAATATTTTGATATTAACTCCACGTGTGTAATGACTTAATATTTAAAGACACAATTAGGTTTAAAATGCTATTTTCATGTGCTAAGGGGAGACCTTATTCATGCTCTACGGAAGAAAAGACCCACACTTTCAGAGAATTTGGAGAATGTAATACTTCCTCAGGACAATGCCCCTGCGCATACGGCTGCCACTACTTCGCAAGAAATTCAATTATTGGGGTTTGAGACTCTGCTGCATGCACCATACAGTCTGGATTTAGCGCCGATTTATTTCGCCGTGTTCCCATTGATAAAGTCGCAACTCAGAGGTATAAAATTAAGGAATTTCACTGAACTAAAAACTAAAAACAGCAGCACTACGCATTATTTCTGGCATTTAGAGTGACTAGTATGCAAAGGTGTATGACAAATGGGTTGTTAGACAGAGGAAATGTGTGGGATGCAACGGTGAATATTTTAGAAAGAATAACGGCGCTTCAATTTCGACGTCACATTTTAGTAAGTACATTCACGACGTAACGTCATGGCGTGCTCCGCACACCTGTACATCCCTTTACATAAACCCGTGCAGTTTCATTGTTTAAGAACGGATAGTTTTGACATTTTTGTAGCATCAATCAAAGCACATTTGTGAGCGATTGGAGAAAGTTTCAAAAATTCTGATGCGAAATACTCGTATTGAAGCAGGTGTCTACGAACTTTCCATACAACCCTCGTAGTATATTCATTCTTTTATTCAAGTTAGACATATTCAGTAAGAGTTTTATATATTTCAATATATTGCAATGATTAATTTATTTTTTTCTACTCAAGCATAGGAGCATAAAATTTCTTTAAGACAGCATATTAAAAATTAGTCATTAGTAATTGATAACATTCAAGAATAATGTGTTACTTTGAAACAAACAATAACTAACTCTAAAAATATAAAATAAACAATATATAGTTCAATAAATCTCATATTAAAAATGGTGCATTGTCCTTTTTCTCATGAACCATGTCGGTAATACATGACAAAGAGTTAAAAGACGTAGAGTACACGTTCGTCAATAAAGTGCTGTTTGTTTATTTGTGTTATAAATAGTATCAGCCACAATTCTACTCTAATCGGTTGAACAGATCAATGGATGAATTACCTGTATTTTGTCATAGCTGTTGCGTGATCTTCAAGTCATGTGTAACATATTGATTAGAAAAGCTAACTAAACTTTAAAACTTGTCAGCCAAACTAGTCTTATTTTATTTCTCATTTTTATGGCGTTCATTATGATTGTAGCTTTTGTAAAGTAATTTAATATAATTATTTGTAAATGAAACAGGATACAATTTTTGGTGAATTATGATTTTATAAATCAGAAGCAATGTCAGAAGATACTAATATGAAGGCGCTCTTCAAAGACTTGGGAGAGACGAGTTCTCTTCATGGTATCCCAAAAATTGTTTCTTCGAAGCAAATCGTTGTTAAAGCATTATGGTGCTTGTTACTCCTTGGTAAGATAAGTATATTTTCTTTGCAAATGAGCTATAGTATGACACCGAAAATTTTGTCTGATATATTTTGTTAATATTGGTATACAACAGAATATATTTCAACTTTTCAACCATTACATATCGTGATGACAGAACCTATTTAAAGGAAAAAATGTTTGTAATTATATCTTTTCACCTTATTTTTCATTTAAATATCTAAGAAAATTGTTTTTATTTTTAGTGAATCGCACAAAATAATTTTTGTGTAAAAGAATATTATTATGCTTAAACATTTCTTAAAGGAACAATGACAGCCTTTGCTATTCAGCTCCATGGATTATTTGAGGAGTTTTACTCCTTTCCAACGAAAGACATCAGTTCGACTCGATTTCAAACCACTGGCTTTTCCAGCACTAACGTTTTTGCAACATGAATCCGATGAGAAGGAGTCAATTGTTTAGATACGACAATATAAAGAATGTTATTTTTGGAAAGATTTTAGAAGACATCAGAGAAAATATTGATAACGAAAACTTTATACAGGATTATGCCTATGCCCGAGACAAGTTTCATGCATGGAAAAGTAGATTTCAGACCGAGTATAGAAAACTTTCGGCTGAAAACAAATCAAATGTAGGGCATCAGAAAGAAGACTTTATTCATAGTGTGGTATTTTCAGGTAAATTCAACAAATTATTTTTTAATTATTTTTTCTCATTTAGCAGATGAACAATTAAACTTTGCATTTAGGTTAATAACATTTGCCGACATTGTTTCTTAATTGTTTCAAAATATCACATTTTAAAAATATCTCATTACATAGTAAATACTCTTTCAGGTAACCGTATGAAACTGTCCATCTTTGAAAAAGTGCAGTCACGTGTGTATGGTAACTGTTATACACTCGACAAAGATAAATTAATTGCCAGAGGAAGCGGTCATAAAAATAGTTTGTATATAGTATTCAATATTGAAAAAGTGAATATTTGGGTAAAAATCCTTTTCATAAGGAATTTTCCCCCAGGTCTTTAACCCCGATCGAGGGAACTTTTCCACTTCCAAAAAGTTTAAGGATTTACTCTTAGCTCGCAATTTGAAAAACACAATTGGATTAAAACGCCCTTAAACGCGTAGTGCGACTTGGTGTGGGAAAATTTGGCGACTGTACAGATGGTCCATGAGTTCAAAATGAATACAAAATAGAATACACAGTTTTCAAATCTGGTTTACACTATTTGTGAGACCTGAATATTTTCAGTCGATGTGCAACTGTAAGCTCGCTGTCGTCATTACCCTATAAGTTGGAAGTGAAACAACTACGGTTTTGTGAATATGACCGAGGACAAGAGTTGTGTTAAAAAAAAATAATTGAAATGACATAAACGGCGGAAATACCTCAAATGCGACTTCGCCCAATACGTTGTAACGAAGATTCGTTTTCAACGACATTTTCTAGTAGGCACTGGCCCTACACAAGGAATACTTGAAAAGTGTCAATTTAAAGAAGAAATTTGCCGATCACGAAAATAAACGAAACAATTTTTATAAGAAGTATTTAAAAAATGTGAAAAAAAAAAAAGTGCCGTAAGATGGGAAATTACGACGAAACTTGCCGCCCAACTTCCCTAGCTTTCACATTCTATTGCTACTTCCCCGAGGACCTGAAATTATGAAACAATATAGAAAACCCTTTGTACAACACAGGTTCGGGTTTTTAATCATTCTGATATTGGTGAGATGCTATGGGGTTTGTAATATGGGGGCCTCAGTATTACTTACGGTTGAAATCTTTACAAAACGTTGCTTTGGGAATTGTTCCTTCTTGTTAAGCGAAATATAAATGCGAAACATCAACCAGTCATAAGAACACAAGGAACATAAAAATAAATTGCAAACAGATAAGTTATCATGATATTTTTTAAAAGATCCTGTAACAATTTTTCATGGTTTTTTAAAAATTAGATAGCCCGAAATTAAGATTGTCAATAATTGTGTGAAGTTTCCAAAAGCATTAATATATATAAAAAAAATATTACCGAATTAAACATTTCATGTTAATAAAGGGAGGTAATTAGAAATTAATTTTCTATAAATTATCAGTCAAAATTTCCAATAAGAATTGAATGCATATAATTCATTGATTAAATATAATGTGCAAAAATATTTGCAGTACACATTTTACATATTCTTTGATGTTTGAAAATTGTTTTATTTGCATAAGTATAAACATAAAATTTTTTTTTGCAAGTGTGATATACACCCTTTCTTACTGTACATTCAGGTTCTCATTGACAGCCGTGCAGTGACCTTCTTTTAGCTCAAAAATTCATATCTTTGGCTAATACTCCGTGGAAATTGCATGGAGGTAAATTATCACCACTTTGTGCTTCAAAATTAACTCTTTAAGGCATGACTGGTGACATTTCCGGTCCGAAATCCCCCCAGCAAACTGTTTTTTTGCCCCCTTTAAGGGGCGGAAAACCCCCTTTAAAGCAAATTAATTTTAGTCAGTCAGTAAAAAACACACAGTAAAAATACCCAATTCAAAAAAAACATCCAGGATTTTTAAAAATTGAAAAAATCTTTTCAGTTTTTTCTTTGTTTCAAAAAAGGGAAAAGGCAAAAACGAGAGGGTATAAAATGTTTTTTCTTTGATGTAAAATTATGAAAAAAAGAAAGATTAAAGTAAGATCTTTTTTGAAAAGTTTTTTGGGAAATTTTTAGATCGGGTTCTTACATCTTTTAATTTTTTTTTTTGAAAAAGAAAAAATACGTTAAAAATTTTGAAAAAAAAAACATTTAAAAAAAACTTTTTTAAACAAAAAGTGCCCCTTGGGAAGAAGAAGGTTTAAAAAGGTTTTTGCCTTTTTTATCAAACAAAGCCAATGAAAGAACGTATTTTTTAAATACCAAATGTAAAAAATTAATGCAAATCGTATTTTGCCGTTTAGTATTTTGCTTCGGGGTTGTCTTTTTTATTATTTTTTAATTTTTGAAGAAAAATTACCAACTTGGGGTCCAAATGAAAAAAATTTTGGGGAATTTTTATCTTAATATTATATTAAAAAAAATTTTTTCCTCAATTACTATTACGTTAAAAAACCTTTTAAAATTGTTTATTATTAAAAAAAAGGGATGAAAAAAAAATTTTAAATCTTTTATATCATAAATTAAAACTAAACTGGAAGTCAATTCCCAAAAACATAAAAACCCAAAGAAACTATTTAAAATTTTAGCCCGGCCTTTTTTAAACTTTTTTGGGAAAAATTTAATAGTAGAATTTTAAAATAGCATAAAATGGGCTTTTTTCCCCTTTTTGCCCCCCATTTATAACGGGACCAAAACCATGTGTTAACATATTCACGCGCTTTTGTTATAGCCCCGTTTCACCTATGCGCAATACATACAGGGCCCAGTAAACAAACAAAAAAAATTGACGATTTGGCCTGTTTGCCAAAGAGTCATGCGCTCTTGTTATATTATTGAAATATTGATTCGAGGGCCAAAAATCGCATAACGACAATGCAGCAAAATCAAGTAACTATACCGGAAATACGGCGTATAGACATCGCTGCTAATCTTGGTTGTCGCCCTTTCTAAGAAACGGACAGTTGTCAATGTAAACAAATACAGTACCTGTCATTCAGTTTAACACCCGATTAACTTACAAAACTAGATAACACAAAATGAATATGAGAAAATTCAGGTAACCGTATTCTGATGTCACTGATCTTTTTTTTTTTCCGTCAATCTGAAATCATTCTAAGAATTTCTGAGGGTCATATTTTGTCTTGGGTAGAGGATAGAGTAATGTAACGTTGTTTTTTTTCTTGAGATAATAAATCTCCCAATGTCAAAAGCTTTGTTAAATCAATTAAAATTCAAAATTTCGTTCGGTTTCTTGGCGAGAATTTTCCAAGTTGTTAGCCCCCGAAAAATAAAACGCATACGTAAAACATGTAGAATTGGATAATTACCGTCCAAGCACAATAATTTAATGTAATTGTGTTTTTGTATTAACTATACATCACGAATCTGTTTTAAAATTTTATGCTATAATAGCGTCAACGCACGTTTATTTCGTGTTATAAAAGTGTGCAAGTTCTCTCAGAACTGTTGGAGCCCTCGCCCTACCGGGCTCGGGCACCAAACCGTTCCTCGGGACTCTGCAGACGTTATGACGCGGAAAAAACGTCATTAACCCTTATAATTAATCGAAAATTTATAACGCACAGGAGCATTGTAAAAATGAGTATAAATAATAAACTATATTGATGTTTCGAACAGAAATGCACGCCATCCAAAACTAAGTAAAGATTAAAAACAAAAAATTTTAATTGGCTCATGGTTCAAAACTTAAAAATAATGCATTTTCGTTTGAACACAATTGAACATAATGTATGTATGTAAGTATGTACGGCTACGTACGTGCGTACCGTACGTACGCACGTATGGTATGTAGTCCTAATGCTTAATGAGGGTTCTATCCTGCCCGTCAAGGCAACCAGCAGCTTCACTGTCGAGTACAGACCCCGGACGTGTCACCATTCATGAACTGAAAGGCCAAAGTGGTCCGTGCAATTTACAAAGGTAAGAAGCGAAAAGAAACTAATTCTGATCCGGGGAGATCACTGTACAGCGATCAATGAGCATCGAAATGTACTTAAACCCCACTGACACTAATGAAGACGGTTAGCCGTGTAGAGCTGTTTGTTGCCAGCAAAAGGGCGCCGCCGTTCAAAATCGTTTCTTCGTTCTAGGAGCTCACGCACCGTAGTATCTTCCTTGTCATCCCTGTCACATTTTAGGGCCCATTCCCGCGCGCTTTAGTTAGGACATCGATAGCTAAATCGTACAGTGCGATAGAACTTAACTTCCCGGCGACAAAGAAGTAGATTAGTCTCCTGGGATCTTTCCTATTTGTATAAAAAACAGCGCTCGGATCTTCACAAGCTATCATGTCCTTGCTGAAAAAAAATTACCGGCAAACCCAAAATTATCCTTCATTGCTTTCTCTACGAACCAGCATGTACCGTGGGGAAGAGAGAAGAAGATTTAAGTACTGTATGTTAATAATTTAATAATGTCTGAAAATTATGTTTAACACATTTCGTGTTGATGCATTTATTACCAAAAAATGCAGTATATAATACATCTGGCATTAAATCGTGAGTAAACTTAAATTTAAAAAGGACTACCGGGAGTCCTACCATAGCCATTTTTTGAGTGTCGTGTTGAAAAAAGTTTAATACCCCGGATAATTAAAAACATGGGATTTTGACATAAACGTGAAGACTGCGTGGTAACATGTAGACATAATAATATGTAGATATTTACTCACAAGAATAATAGTACTCATTCATATAAATTAAATTTGAGTGACTGGTTTCATAATTTGGTCGAATAGTCGTTTTATGTTCACACGGGGGGAATGGTTTGAAAAACCAAAATTAAAACAGTTTTTATGAATGTTTGTGGATTCACTAGAAATGTTAACCCCTTACAACACTCTAAAATCTGCACAATTTAAGCTTCCTCATTTGCATAAATTACTAAAAGAATAAAATGCTGTATCGAACATTAATATCTTTAGGGTTTGGTCGTATTAAATTTTTCCAGACTAGTTATTTTCGTCAACAAAAGGTTAGTCAAGTACATATTTTATCAAAATTACATCACGTGTTCCATTGAATAAGTTATTGATTTTTATCACCAAGGGCGTGGTGTTTGAATACAGCTCAAAATAAAATTCAATATTTTGTTTCATTTCGTATTTGCTTTGCACGCTTCATCTTATGAACTGTAAATTAATGAATTCAGAGGAGTGTTGTTATTGCAAAATTTCATTTGCTACTACCGTAGCAATAATCATATTGATGATTTATATCAATCCTTTTATAAAATACTATATTCAGCCAATCATATTTTTGGAGAAAATATAAATGAGCTCT